GGCTCCTAGGAGAGGCGGGCAGGCTGGACCGCCCGGGCCCTAGGAGAGGAGGGGGCAGGCTGGCAGCGGCAGGTAGCCGTGCCACGCGGACAAACCACTCACCTGAGCCCCTTCCTCATCAAGTGGGGCTGTGGGGCAGCATAGTTCAGACACCCTGGGGTGCGGAGCCCCCGTGGAGAGAAACTGCTGCCCCACGGAGCTGGGGCATCCATGGAGGGGGCCACCCAGCCTCCCCGCAGACTGGGGGTCCCCTGGGAAGCACCCTCGCCCCCCCCTCGAGCGGGAACGCCGCAGAGGGCGAAAGCGGCTGGCGGCCTACGTACGCATGTCGAACAGGTCCTTCTTGGGGCTGTCCTCAGGCTGCGGGGGCGCGGGGGCATCCAGGCCCTGTGTGTTGACGTACAGGTGGTCCTCGTAGTCTTGGGGGCCTCCGGCATCCGCCTGCACGTAGCCGTCCCCAAGTGGACCTGGAGCGGACAGGAGGCGTGGCGGGGTGGGGGGAGCCGGGGAGGGGCCCGCTGGACGGAGGCAGCCGGAGGACAAGGCCCTGCCTGGGCGCCCCGGGCCCTCCAGGAGGGAAGTGGCCTGATGTCCGTCCACACAGCCTCAGGAGCGGGAACCTGAAGATGCCCAACCGGGCCGTGAGGCCCCAGATGCCCGCATCCAGGGAGGGGTCAGTGCCCACCCGGGCCCCCCCCCCCCCCCCCCGGCCGAAAGGTGGTCCAGAACCGTCTAGCTTCCGAAGAAGCCAATGTTTACACTAAATCTGCACATTAAAACGTAACAACAAAAGTGCCCCTATTACGTTATCAACATGGCAGGGAAGGCCCTGGCTTCTGTGCGGTCTGTTCTAAGGTTTCCTTCCCTTTCCTTTCCACACTGCGCTTCTGCATGTGTGAAGCAGGGCGGGCTCAAAGGCCACAACCACAGGAAGCGCAGCCTGAGGGGAGGCCGCGCCAGGCCTGGACCACAGGTGAGAAGCTGGAGGGCAGGAGCCGCGCCCTGGCCCGCGCCCCAAGGGCGGGAGCCGCTGGGTCCATGAGCTCCGCGTCTGGTGTGGAGCACGTCAGGCCTTTTTCCTAAGCTGAGCTGTTCGTGTATCTCTCTCAGAACTATCCATCTCTGAAAGTCTCCGTTGTATTTGGTTTGCTTTCAAGATGTATTTTTATTTTATTTATGCCCACAAGAGCTGGGTACCAGCCAGGGGTGCGGGGGGCGGGGGTGAGAGGATCCCCAGAGACAGGTTGGGGAGCAGGACAGCGGCTGGACTGAAGCCCACTGCCGAGGGGAGACAGGAGAGGTCTGCTGCGCCCCGGGGTCCCTCCCTGGCCGAGGATCGAACTTTCCTTAGCTGGAGACAGCTGGACAGCGCTGAGACTTTAACCCCTGCGTCCGGGGGAGGCCCTGAATGTCCCAGTTCTTAATGCTTGACGGGAAGTAGCTATCTTGTAATACATCACGTGGCCAAAGCTTGCAAACGTTATGATCCGCATGAGCATGAAGCTGAGCGTGTGCTGGCGGGCTGACGGGGTCAGAAGGTCCAGCCCAGGCTTCGCACTCAGCCCAGAGATGGCACAGATGCCCCAGCCCGGCACTGACGTGGGCGGGGCTGGGAGGTGCCGGCGGCCACAGGCTGGTGGGCGAGGCCGCAGTGAGGCGCGGTCCAGCTGCCTCCGTGAAGTGGCAAGGACCACGCCCCAGAACTCAGCTTCCACGGGGGGCGCGCAGTGGCACCAGGGGGCATCTGCCGCCGGGGATAGAAGGGGAAGCAGGACGACGCCGACCGGGCCGCAGCGCGTAGCCTGGGAGTCGGAGGCCGGGGCCTGGCGCTTCCACGGCCCTCGACTGCGAACAGCGGACGCGTGCTCAGGGGCAGAGAACTGCTGCTCTGTCCAAACAGCGTGCACAGGGGCCTCCCGGTGGCCGGGGCCAGTCTCAGCTTTGCCATCACCAAGGCCTGGGTTTCACCCCAGGCCAGGGAGGGACCCCAGGGCGCAGCAGGCCCCTCCTGTCTCCCCACTGCCCCCTCAGCAGTGGACTTGGTCGATCCACCTGTTCTCCCTAGGAGAGGAGGGGGCAGGCTGGACCGC